AACTCGGACTGTCCATTTTGTTTTATCATTGAGGATTTTTGTCTCTGCTTACGTAACAGTAACGTAAATTACTGCGCCTGGCATTTTTGCAAAGCTTTGCTCGCTTGTTCCGAAATTTCACTTTCAATTAACAAAAGAAAAGCTAGAAAAAAGTCCCGAAAAAGGTCGGACATAGTACAATTTGGCAGATGGCATGACAACTTTAGCTCAGTTCTATGCTTTATACTCTCATAGAGCACGCTCATTTAACCAATGACGGCACGCGTTATATCCGAACTTTATTATAAGAAAAATATGGTCGAAGACATGGATTTATTGAAACGCAGAGTCCTTCTTGAGACGACTACTGTAGTCGCTCGACGTTACATCAAATAAGCATAGCTTTTCTGACCACAGTGTAATCAGGTTGAATTTTTTTTCTTCGGTTCAAAAACGATTTTCGATGTCTTCCGCCATTTTGAATAGTCAGGTGATAATGTCGCCCAACTTGATTGGTTAATTTCACTGACGACTCGCCGTGGAAAGGGGAGGAAATCGCGGGAGCGGGCAGACTTGGCGAATGCCGGCGAATTTAATCGCCGATATCTGACATGCCAGATCTCGGCGATTAAAAATTTTCGGTTTTGAAAATCGAGTCTGTCGAAAATTGACTCGGTTGACTCGAGTAGTCGAGCTTTCTTTTTCCTTCAAGAAATAATTGCTTTGTGACACTGAGCGCTTTAATGAAACCATCACTTGTTGCGTTGCCTTAATTGAACACCCCCTCTTCAGTGGAAAAGAATTTACCAAGGGAGCTAGAACTATTTATGTCTAAGCCACCGCCCACCGTTTTTTAAACTACCTATTTTCGCATTTCTTACAAACTATGTCGGTCGGGCGATGTGAAACAAAACATTTGTAAGAGATGGCCTTGTGAATAAGATCTCCCATCATGAGAAGAAAAAGCTACAATGAACAATAGTCATTCCGCTATCGAGGAACTAGTAGCAGAATTTACTTATCATACTGATGGCACTGCACGAAGAAAATTTTTATATTTTATAAGCTGATCGCGGCTATCGGTGAAAATCGCAATCGCCGCACTGGGCACAGCTGGCGATCTTCGCCGACCGCCGCGATCGGCGTATAAAATTGCTAGGTGTGTCACCGGCTTAATAATGGCGATCGCGTTCTCACGCGACTAAAACCGAAGAAATGAACACGTATCACCATCGAAAGCACAT